GGTCACAATAATTTAATAATTATTACTATATATTTTGTTTGTTACATTCGATACCAGTGGTGCTATAAGAATAACAGTTTTATAAATAATTAAAAATATAATAGGATAATAGGTACATTATTTAAAACTAAATTTWTTTTCTTTCCTAATTAGTTTAGGACTTTATATAATATTAAAATAGTTCAAAACGAACCACATATTTTTGTTTGTCAGATTCCCTTTAAAATTTATCAAAATTAAAGATTAATTTTTTTTTTGGTTTGGGGGGTGTCTAGACACCATGGACACCCCCCCAAAAAAAAAAAAAAAAAAAAAATACGCCATTAAGTGCTATTATAATAATAATAATATTATAATAACCACCCAGTAACATATTATATTTTATGTAGAGTACACATATTCATATTTTCAAATTGTAAATACAAAATCATTATTTGATTTATATAAATTATTTACATTGTGATATATTTTAAAAGTAGATATTTGGTTGAGATATTATCTTTATTAGATATAATTGTAATGTGGTTTTAAGTGATATTGTCACAGGTTATTATTAAATTTTAGTTGTATATTAGATTTTCAACTGTTATTGAATGATAAATATATAGTCTTATCAGGTTTATTATTAATAATAATATAATTTTTAAACTTATTATGTGTAATGTTTTGTCATTCAATAATTCAAAAAAGTTAAATGTTGGAATTATAAAAAGTTATTGAATGGGATGTATAAGTTACTGGTAGAATCGATTATAGAATAGGTCTACTCTACAATCAATGCTAGTAGGTAGATAATTATTGACKATTAGGAATACAAAATAAAATCAGTAAAAAAAAAACCCGTGAGTAATTGATGAACTCCTTACCATTAACACCGCCTCCCCTTTGTAATTTTGTTACTATGACAGAACTGTTACTTGTATTTTTTTTTTTCAACCTTGGTTTGTTTGCAGCTTTCTCTCAATTTTCCATGGTCTATTTTAAATTTCCAAAGAAATATGTTGTCCTGGTAGTATTTTATCATGTTCTCTATTATTGTGCTATATAATTCTTTTAGATGTTTAAGTATGTATCCTACCATCTTCCATCTCACTTAAATGATATCCATGGTTGATGACCGATTCTCTCCTACTTTTCTAGGTACATCTTGGTTGCCCAATTTTTTACATGTGACACCTCATCTCCAGTGCTTCTAGTACCTTTCTTTCAGTTCCATTAAAATTGTTTTACAAACATTAAGCACATAATGATATGCTCCAGACATGTTTTTACAAGTCTCTTCCTAATAATGTTTATGTTTAATTTCTTGGGTTTGAATTTTTAACTAAATGCAGCAGACCTTATAATTTCTCAAATGTCCTTACTATTACTATATTGTCAGTAAAATTTATCATGGAAAGTTTCCACTCTATTTTTATTCCAATTAATTATAATTTAAACATTGTTTTCATTTTTTTTTTACATTATTGGTATTTAATTTGAACTTAAAGTAACATTACTCTTTATGACATCTATAACAAAAAAAAGAATAAGTAATTTCTTACATAWTATAAAATAACTGAAGATAAGACGTTATTGATTTATCAAATATGATTCATGTCATTAAATTAATGAGCAATTAATGATTTGTGCTTAGCTTGTTTATTTGAAAATACATTCAAAGCATAAAATTCAAGAGATGCAAATACAAGAGAATTTATACATRAGAAGGCAGTCGGTATACTCAAAATAGAAATGTCTGCTCTATTTTTCATTGTATKATTTTGTTAATGATTTGCTTATAAATTTAGTATATGCAATCAATCATATACTTATTTTATAATTATATGATATGTATACTATGCATATTTAGCTTTTGTTTTTGTGTACAGTTATGTTTCAACGGGCTTATATATTTGTATTTTAATGTTAATTCTGCTTTCATAATTTTAATCTGTTTAAAGTGTGATAACTAAAAGTTCATCTGGTTAAATCAATCAATATAAACTATCAAAAGGTGATATTTTTTACAAAACAGAGTAGCAAATAAAAAAAGTTTTTTTTATAATGTATTTTTACTTTAATTTTTAAATGTTATTTTAACAAGTTTATTTTTTTTACAGATAGAATCCTTCTAGAATTTACATAATACAATCATATTAATTCAGAAATATTGAAACAATCACACACATATAATCTATTATTACATTTTACATATACAATAAAAAAAAAATATTCAATAGACTTCCRGTCTATTGTAAATGTACAATATATTTCTTGATTTTATATATTATATTATTTTATTTTATTTATAAATGTTTAGTTAAAATTTACACATGATATTCTCCACCTTCCAATTTATCATCTGACACATATGATACCAAATACTCGGCTGTACTTTGGTCGATCCAAATAACAGATACTGCTAATGATATAAAATACCCTAATATACTGCCAGCAATTACATCTAATAAATGATGGCGTCTTAGAAGTATTCGACTAAGAGCCACAGCTACTGCCCAAACACATAAAAACAATACAATAAACTCATTTAATGGATACAATTTATAAAAATAAAACAATATGAAAAATGCTCTTGAAACATGTCCTGACGGAAAAGAGTAGACGTCCGGGCCAATTGTAACCCATTGGTCATTTTTATTGCCTACAGGTCGACGGCGACGAACAAATGCTTTTATAATAGCAACCGCAAAAATATCAACAAATAATCCTGAATAAAAAAAAAATCTTCAATATTTCGTATTAAATGTATGTAATAGATATGCATATATTATTTAAAAACTTAAATTTAAAAAATTTAAAAATTATGTTTTAAAATACAGGAAATTTTGTCTATATTAAAAAAGTGTAAAAATAAAAATAATTTGTAGAAATTAGAATTTAAAATCACTAGGTGCAAAATGTAATTTCATATTTTGAACATAAGTTTAGATATCTAATAACTAGATGTATCTGTAATGGTGCGTTATCTATGTGATCCATATCAATTTTTACAATTTATTTATTATTAGAACTGATTGCAAAAAGTAAAAAATATATTCAATAGTAGGTATGCAATGGMTTAAATAGATGAAATGTGTAATAATCTTATTTGAATCAAAATTGTTATTAAAAAATATTGAAATATGAATTTTAAAAAAGTCCTGTAAAATATTAAAAAAATTGAGGTGTGTAACTTATTTAGATTTCTGAACAGATGCTTGCAGTGTGGGTATTTTCTAACTTTCCTTAAAAGATTTCATATAAAAATTCTAATAGAAACAAACAATTAAAAAAATAATTTTAGGTCTAAATTATGATTACATTAAGATATTCTCGTTGTATACATTTTACAGACTTTCTGTAAGTTTTTTTAACGACCTCAATTTTTGTATATTTTTTTTTCACTCTAAGTTTCAGAGCCATAAGACACAAGAATATTAGTCAACATCATCAAATATTAATGATAGGCTTTTATCCTTAAGAAAATAATATAATATTGCCGTTTGTTCTGGCTATATACATAACTAAATAACATTTTTCAACATAAATAATTGATGAAAAAAATTAATGAGTGCTTGTATAAAAGTTATTTTAAATTGTATACTGTCTTAATTATATAAAAATATACAAAGCTTTTAAATATGTGAATGAGGCATATTGTTAAATGTAAAGAACATACAACAAGAATAYCCAGCCAGTAACTTCCAATTACTTACCAATAAGAAGGTTAACTTGCATTTGAAACAAAGATTTTGACCAAGCAAACCAAATGAAAGTCAACCAGCAGGCGATCCATACAATTCCATGACACGAATACTTAAATTCAACATGATTAATATTAATCATTTTGATTAAATTTAAGTACATTTTTTAAAGTATGCAGGTATTTTACCTCTAATCCTTTGTAATATGTGGTAAAACTGCGAGTAGGCAGAAACCTAGAAACTGTGTTACAAATAACTGAAGTAAGTTTTGAGTCGATATCCAAAATACTCTTCACCGGCTCCGGTACATTCCGTTTTAGAGGCATTTCAATTTTTTAAACAATTCAATGAAGTCATGAAGAACTGATAAGTGTTTAATCAACTAGAMAACTTAACTACTTAACATCAACGATCGTTCATARAAATAATATTATAGTAGTAGTATTTTTTTAATAATAACTGATAGCAATAGCAACCGGGATTATTGTGATTCTGTACTACAATTTTTATTTTTTATTTGAACAAAACATAGACCTTATAAAGGTTTATGGAACAAAACAACATTATCAGTTATCAGTTATCACAAAACTAATCTCGATTGGATTTTGTACTGTKCTATTAAATACGTCCTATTTACTATAATAGTAATAAAATAGTAATTAGTAATTACTAATGAATAATGATGGACTAGTAGATGTCTAACCATTATTTAATCTATTCTTTAGTTCAACTATAATATCATAAAACTATAACATGACAAAATACATTTATTTTGTCATGACTCATGAACTATTATACATCTGACATCAGCTAGGTAATCTTTKAAACCATAAAAAATAAATCCACATTGACAGTAGTTGACAAATAGTTATTGTTTACATTCATGCCTAATGACTAATGAGTAACGATACTTATTAGTTATTATTTATTTGTAGTAATGTATTGTCGTGCAGTAATAAGTCGTACACTTATACTAATAAATAATAATGATTTTATATTTTTAAGTTATTATACAATCCAACGTTTACTATTGAAGCACATCTTATGATATTGTTATTTTCTGGGCATCGACGCATCTATACTCTATAGTGGGTGTCGGTTGGAGGTGAAAGCTGAAGGGACATATTCTATTTTTAAACACATTTTTTTGCGCGATATACCTGTAGTGGTGTACAGTTTGTTATTAATTATTGCTATAGTTTATTTGCTTGATTAGTTCCATTTATTTTTTGTAACAATCTAACATTTGCTTCTCGAACATTGCTATGATATAATTGCTAAGCTTGACACATAAAATGCCTAAGTATTTTATAATATTGGTAAGTTGGTATAGGTAGATACCAAGAATCAAGATGTTGGCATGTTAATTTTTTTCTGTCTTCAGGCTATATTTTATTTTTCATATAGTTGACACGTGAATTTAATGTATGTATGGCGTTGATGCGTTGTAACTGTTGGAAGGTTACATATTTAATGTAACTTAAAATTTATTCTAGGCACAAAAACTATATAAATGTTTTATGTTGTCGCCGACTYGCCGTAAAATATAATGGAAATGGACGATCAGTTTTCGTATAATATTATTCGTCTCTATCTCACAATTATTTAATTTTTACAGTATTATTAGGTACTTGTTATTGTTACACCTAAAAATAATTTCTATAATCTAAAAGTTATTACCGTACATGGTACATTTGTCATAACATAAAAATCGTTGCAATGACATACCGTTTCACGACTTCGCGGTAGGTATAACTGACAACTGTATAAGTAGGTACCTAATTAAAAATGAGAAGTAAAATCG